AATCCGGCTTGCCGGGCCGGGGGGCCCCTTCCCACGCCCTGCAGGAGGGGGGCCCGTTCAGCATTCGCCGCTAGCACCCGAGCTGGCTTTGGGGGTCGCGGGGCAGCGGGTTCCTTAGCTCCCGCGCCCCACGGCTCTGCTGTGCCCCTTGCAACCTGCGCACGTGCCTTAGCCCGGAGGCTGGGTCGACTCCTCGCCGCCGCCGGGGACTGGCTCTCTGGAGATTCCTAATAAACCTTCCTGACGAACCCCCCGATTCCTCCCGTTTGTCCCCCACCTTCGCCGGCGCCTCCCGCAGGGTTTCCTGGGCACAATGGGCCGAGCTCTTCGCGGTGAATCTCTACGCGGGCCCCTGGGGCCTGCGGGTGGCCCGGGGCCGTGGATGGGAACGTGGCACATTTGCCAACATCGCAACCCCCGGCACTGCCTGCCTTTTCTAGAGCTGCCTTTTCTAGAGCCTGGGGTGCTCTGTGTGTCCCTGTGTTCCGAACCCCCGGCACTGCCTGCCTTTTCTAGAGCTGCCTTTTCTAGAGCCTGGGGTGCTCTGTGTGTCCCTGTGTTCCGAACCCCCGGCACTGCCTGCCTTTTCTAGAGCTGCCTTTTCTAGAGCCTGGGGTGCTCTGTGTGTCCCTGTGTTCCGAACCCCCGGCACTGCCTGCCTTTTCTAGAGCTGCCTTTTCTAGAGCCTGGGGTGCTCTGTGTGTCCCTGTGTTCCGAACCCCCGGCACTGCCTGCCTTTTCTAGAGCTGCCTTTTCTAGAGCCTGGGGTGCTCTGTGTGTCCCTGTGTTCCGAACCCCCGGCACTGCCTGCCTTTTCTAGAGCTGCCTTTTCTAGAGCCTGGGGTGCTCTGTGTGTCCCTGTGTTCCGAACCCCCGGCACTGCCTGCCTTTTCTAGAGCTGCCTTTTCTAGAGCCTGGGGTGCTCTGTGTGTCCCTGTGTTCCGAACCCCCGGCACTGCCTGCCTTTTCTAGAGCTGCCTTTTCTAGAGCCTGGGGTGCTCTGTGTGTCCCTGTGTTCCGAACCCCCGGCACTGCCTGCCTTTTCTAGAGCTGCCTTTTCTAGAGCCTGGGGTGCTCTGTGTGTCCCTGTGTTCCGAACCCCCGGCACTGCCTGCCTTTTCTAGAGCTGCCTTTTCTAGAGCCTGGGGTGCTCTGTGTGTCCCTGTGTTCCGAACCCCCGGCACTGCCTGCCTTTTCTAGAGCTGCCTTTTCTAGAGCCTGGGGTGCTCTGTGTGTCCCTGTGTTCCGAACCCCCGGCACTGCCTGCCTTTTCTAGAGCTGCCTTTTCTAGAGCCTGGGGTGCTCTGTGTGTCCCTGTGTTCCGAACCCCCGGCACTGCCTGCCTTTTCTAGAGCTGCCTTTTCTAGAGCCTGGGGTGCTCTGTGTGTCCCTGTGTTCCGAACCCCCGGCACTGCCTGCCTTTTCTAGAGCTGCCTTTTCTAGAGCCTGGGGTGCTCTGTGTGTCCCTGTGTTCCGAACCCCCGGCACTGCCTGCCTTTTCTAGAGCTGCCTTTTCTAGAGCCTGGGGTGCTCTGTGTGTCCCTGTGTTCCGAACCCCCGGCACTGCCTGCCTTTTCTAGAGCTGCCTTTTCTAGAGCCTGGGGTGCTCTGTGTGTCCCTGTGTTCCGAACCCCCGGCACTGCCTGCCTTTTCTAGAGCTGCCTTTTCTAGAGCCTGGGGTGCTCTGTGTGTCCCTGTGTTCCGAACCCCCGGCACTGCCTGCCTTTTCTAGAGCTGCCTTTTCTAGAGCCTGGGGTGCTCTGTGTGTCCCTGTGTTCCGAACCCCCGGCACTGCCTGCCTTTTCTAGAGCTGCCTTTTCTAGAGCCTGGGGTGCTCTGTGTGTCCCTGTGTTCCGAACCCCCGGCACTGCCTGCCTTTTCTAGAGCTGCCTTTTCTAGAGCCTGGGGTGCTCTGTGTGTCCCTGTGTTCCGAACCCCCGGCACTGCCTGCCTTTTCTAGAGCTGCCTTTTCTAGAGCCTGGGGTGCTCTGTGTGTCCCTGTGTTCCGAACCCCCGGCACTGCCTGCCTTTTCTAGAGCTGCCTTTTCTAGAGCCTGGGGTGCTCTGTGTGTCCCTGTGTTCCGAACCCCCGGCACTGCCTGCCTTTTCTAGAGCTGCCTTTTCTAGAGCCTGGGGTGCTCTGTGTGTCCCTGTGTTCCGAACCCCCGGCACGGCCCGCCTTTTCTAGAGCTGCCTTTTCTGGAGCCATCCTTTTCTAGAGCCTGGGGTGCTCTGTGTGTCCCTGTGTTCTGAACCCCCAGCACTGCCTGCCTTTTCTAGAGCTGCCTTTTCCGGAGCCATCCTTTTCTAGAGCCTGGGCGCTCTGTGTGTCCCTGTGTTCCAAACCCCGGCACTGCCCGCCTTTTC